CATTTTCACATCTTCTTGGCCTATCTTGTGTGCAGCTGGGTGACACAGGCCTCTCTGGTGCCCCCAAACCCTGCAGTTCCCGTGGGTAACTGGATCCCACAGTCCCTTTGGGGACCTGGCTCTTTGCCTGTCTTATGGGCTGCTGGGTGGCACAGGCCTCTCTGGTGCTTCAGCATCCCATAGGAGTCCCATGGTTAAGTAGATCGCACAGTCCCTGCTGAGTCGCACAGGCCTCTCTGGTGCCCCTGCACCCTGCAGGCCCCTGGGCAGGCAGCTGGATCACACCAGTCCCTCTGGGGCTCCGGCTTCCCACTGCTCTTGTGAGCCGCTGGACCACAGAGGCCTCTGTGGGGCCCCAGGTCCCGCCGCTGGTGGCTGGGGAGTGCTGCTGCCCTGTGGGGCTCAACTCCTGCTGAGCTTTTGCTGTAGATTTTGCGGGTGGGTCTCAGCTGCTAGTCTGTGCTTCTGTTGCCTGGGGATGGATGTCTGCTCCCCAGACTCTGTTGCTGGGGGTATATCTTGACTCTGATTGGGCTGCTACTATGGGGAATGGTGCTGGGCTCCGGGCTGTCTGCGGCTTCCACGACCAGCACCTTGGGAGCTCCACTACTGTGCACCGGTCTGTGTTGACACAGAGTGTCCACTGGTCTGATGGTACCAGGTACACTGGGGGCTCAGGTTTCTGGGCCCTAGCCATTCCCATTGCCTCCTCCCCGGGAAGACCCAGGATCTTCCAAAATGGTGGGACCTCCCCGCAGAGCAGGGAGAAGCGTCCTGAGGGCCGCTCACTGTGGTAGCCACTGCCCCGTCCACAGCACAGGGACCTTCTGCTCCGCGGCTCTGCACTGCTCGGGTGTGGTCATCCACCTGCACGTCCACTCACACTCTTTCCCACACTCGCTCACTCTCTCACACACTCACCCTCCCTCTGGTCCTGCTCGCTGCCATCTCTCCTAATAATGATTATTTCTAATGGAAAATGAAAGAGTGGATAAAGACTAATTTTATTCCATCGTGTTGTGTTCTCAGCAGTTTTCTAAGCCTTTCTCTGCAATAATACTACCCCCAAATAAGACAGACATTTTAACTGGTCTCATTAATGATATAGACCTGTACAAGATTGCCTACGGTAACAAGAATAACATTTTTTGAATTTGAAATTTTGTATTTTAGTTTATGTTTTACTGATGTAGCTTGTGGCGTGTGTGTGTGTGTGCGCACGTGTGTATTTGTGGTCAGTAAATTTTTAACTGCTTGATAATTCTCTAGGGAATATTAGACAACCATTTATTTGAGGTGCATTAGGCGTCAGGCAGTCCTAAATGCCCTTGAGCAGGTTATCTTACTGAGACATCAGCACAAGTCTTTGGGAGTGTTCACTGCAGTCTGTGTTTTATGAATGGGGAAGCTGAGGCTCAGAGAATTTAAATAATTTTATCCCACTTACAATATTAGGGAGCAGATCTGGGGTCTGGCACAGATCTTTTAGATTCTTCCCGCAGTGTCGTGGTCCTCTCAGTGAGAACTCTTGTTCTGTTTACTTCTGCAGTTTTAGCTTTTTATTTCTGCCATATTAAGATGCCTCTATTTATTATAAATGACTTAAAATTCTAGTTGGGAAGAATCAAGGAGTAAATATGTTTGGGAGCTACTTACTTATAAGGAAACGAATTCTATAAGAAGGGAGTAACTGTGAGCACTAAGAGGCTGTCATCTCCAAAGTCTTTGGGTGGCTTTGGTGCCTCTTGCCAGTCATCAGAGAGCCTGGCAAACCACTGTCCTCACTGTTGGAGACAGGACAAGTGGGTGGGCATTTCTGCCTCTCCTTTCTGCAGGGTGTGTGTTCTACTTGTAATGCTATTGTCCGTTTCCCTTTCTTTCCAGCCAGCCATCATCCTTTGGCATCTCTCTGGTGCCGGTCACCTGGCCTCTGCCAGCCGAGATTAGGCTGTAGTATAATGAATGATGGGAGGGAGATGCTCCGGCCCTTTTTCTGCCCGTCTCAGGACGAACAGCATGTCCATGACAGCAGCTCCCGGTTACTTGATGATGGGAAGGCACGTATGGACTGGCAAGTCTGCTTGCTCCCCCAGAATATTCAAGTGCTAGAATAAATCTCAGGACAGACTCACAGACTGGATGGTCTTTGGTCACAGCCTTTACCTTTGGTCGTGACAGCTTTATTTTCAAGATTATTGTCACTGGGTCAGTGTTGTTTATTGGTAATTTAGTAAGACAGATTAGATCTTGTGGTCTGTAAAGAGGAAATCATACCAAATGCAGTGGAGACCACCCTTGGTGGGCAGGACTGGAATAATACACGAAGTGCTTGTGTGTGGAATTTTGCTTGGGATTCAGGTTGGGGACAGTCTTTTTTTCATACTCCTGCCCAAGTTTTACTTTTTATTTATTTTTATTTTTTTATCTTCACCCGAGGATATTTTTCCATTTTTTTGTACAGATAGAGTGGGAGGGAGAGAGAGGAAGGGAGAGAGAGAGAGAAACATCGACGTGAAGGGACACATCGAGTGGCTGCCACCCGCACGACCAACCAGGGCCGGGGACAAACTGCAACCGAAGTACGTGCCCTTAGCGGGAACCGAACCCGGGTCTCTCCGGATCGCAGGCCGACGCTCCAACCGCTGAGCCAAACCGGCCAGGGCCAAGTTTTACTTTTTATTTAGTTTAATGGCAATGTGAAAATCAGTAACTGTTTGTCTATAACTAACAGGGATAAAAAAATATGCTCATATTGAGTAGATTTAGGCATTTTTGTGTGTGGAGATATATTTTTTTCTTAGTAAGTTGTTTATGTTGTTTCTGAAATGCAGAATGTAACCTGGTTTCTTCTATACATACACACCTGTTTCCTTGGTGATTCAATTGTGCCTTCATTGTATGATCTTAGAAACAGAGGAGACATTCATTCTGCTTATTTTTCTGTCTGTGACCATGCCGTGTGCACTGTGAGGGAGTTTTCAGGGAAGGAGTAGTATTTGCACTAGTCCTGATGCTCTTCAACTGAGCAAAACCAGTGACTTCGCAGGACAGTTATATCACTGATGTAACTAGAGTGCAGTAAAATTGATTTTTTCAAATGAGAAAAAACAGGTCATGATTTCAAATTAAGAGCTGTACCTGCCATTATCTTTTCTATTTTTCTTAAGACAAACCATGCTCTGATTAGTTGGTGGTAACAACTAATCCAAATGGGATTTGTCTGGACTCTGATGCCTCTGGGATCTCTTGATGATCTGGGGTATGGATTTCTGATGCTTCACGGGTTTTTATCAGTCAGTTTCCAAGATGCCCCAGAGACCATTAAGATGGATAATAAATCAGGTGAGATTAAGCTGTGTTTGTTATGCAAAGAACTATAGTTAGGAATAACATGTTGAATTTGGAGAAAAGAAGTGAGGCATTATAAGTGCAAATTGTTGAGGTCTTGAGGAAGCCCAGTATGTGGCTTGGGTCTTTCCTATCAGAGTTCTCAATCTATGAAGAAATAACATAAGTAAGATAGATGAAAGATGAAAAATTACTTTTATATTAATCTAGGCTAGATTGAGTGATGTAGTCTAGTTGGAGAGTCAAATGAGCATTCTAAATGGACATCACAATTAAACAGGTTTACTCACCCACTTACAGAAGGTGCGGGACCACTTCCTTTCTCTGACAAGGTGGAACCTTTATTGCTAAACTTGGCAGGACACACCTATTATCTACATGCGTATGGTTTCTAAAGAGGAATAAGGGGTTGCTGAAGCATGCATGCCCGACTTTTTCTTCTCAATCTTACCGGAGGAGCTATTCCACTTTCCCTGGAGTGGGTAAAAGGTAGAGAGTCACGGATTCCATTAATTGCACTTCGTTTTAATGGAAAGAAACATGAGGTTTGGGGTAGAGGGGAAGCATTTCTCTCAGCATCCTAAAATATACATGTTTTCACATTCTAAACTCTGAAATTAGGATGTGTTTGAAATCAATGGCATCTTATTGGCTGTCGACTGGAAGACAGTCATAATGAGTTGTTTTGCCTCAGTGGGAGTTGAGTGGCTATTCCTATACTGTGACCCTTTAGGATTTCAGTTAATGAACCTCTTAAGGACCATTTGAGGAAAGACTATGAGTGCTGCTTGGTATAGGAACATGTTTTCTTTAAGCCTTCTAATAGCATCAAGAACATAGCAACGTATTAAACCTGGGAAGAATGGGTAACAGAAGCTTGAAATGAAGTACTGTACTTACTCCTTGAAGAAACTCATTTGCTGACTGTCTTTAGAAATTGTCAGGATAGTGACAACTCTGAGTCATTCAAAAGGGCGTGACTCTGAATATTACATAGTTTTAAGACTATCTTAACCAATTTATTTTTCTTATATCTTCTTATTACATGTGTATGCTAGACTTATGGTGAACATCTACTTATTTTAAAGGGAGCTTTTCAGTAAGAAAAAAGTAAAGATTATGAATAATAAGGAAATATTCTGTAGTTTAATTAGCAGGATGTTTTCCCCCTTACTGTTAACCTAAAACAACAGCATATCTTACAATCAGAGGAATCTTAGCTTTGATGAAAATACAATCAGTTAGCTTCATTTGGGTCTCTGCTTCAACTGTTACAGTCCCGGACAACTGTGAATGGCGGTTCTTCTTCCCTGGAAAGCTTCGTGTGCTGTACTGTCCAAGATAGATACTGGCGGTTAGAAAGCCAGTATTTAACCTTAACTGAGTTATACCCTTGCACATGTTCTTTAAATACACCACTCATCCTTACTGTGCTGCCGTGTTCTCGCTCCGGCATGAAAAGGCTCATTCATAGTCTGTTTGATGGGGAAGACTAGGGCAAGTGATTCCAGATAGTTTTGTAGATATTGAAAGCAACTGTTTTCAGAGATAGTCCTTCTTATGCCCCCATAACAGTTATCTAAGATTCGCTCAGTTTATTTCTTTGTACTATTTCTAATTAAGTCTCTTTGTTTTTCCTTTTTTTCTGAAAGGGGGTCCTGATGACAATTTAATTGAAGGTGGAGGAACAAAATTTGTCTGCAAACCTGGAGCCAGAAATATTACTGTCATATTCCACCCGTTACTAAGGTAAGTCCAATCCTGTGCACTCACTGATGAGCACTATTTTCATTATTGATGCTGATGTACTCAATGCTAATAGGCCAGTCGGCATTGAAATAAGCCACAAAACACACACACACACAAACTTGTTCCATGTCCCAGGGCCTCACTATCAAAGTTAGTCAATAGAACAAATGAACAAATAATGTCAACTCCACTATGTGGCTACTTGTTCTTAGGAGTGATACTTCATAAATTCTTCAGATGTTCTTTCCTATTCCCTGTTCCTGCCCCTGTCCCTCCCCTCTCCCCCTCCGTATGTATTTCAGGGATTGACAGACTAGGGCCCACGGGAGAAGTCTAACCTGTCTTGTGTTTTTGTACATAAGTTTTTATTGACACACAGTCATGCTTCTCCATCCATGTAGGCATTGCTCATAGCTGCTTTCGTGCTGTAATTGCAGAACAGAGTGTTTGCGGTGGAACCCGCGTGGCTTACAACGCCCGCATTATGTGCTCTCTGGCCCTTGACAGCAAAACGTTGCAGGCCGTGATCTGTCTCACTAATTTACACTGATGACTCAGGTGTCCTATGAGAATTGGCAGGTCTCTAAACAAACATGATTTACGAAACGCAGAGACATTATATCAGTCAGATACATGAGTTTTATGTATTGAAGGGTAACTGGATGGTGACTATAATGACATCGTACTGTGCTTAGTTTATTGTGATACCGTGGCTGCAAGAAAATAAGAATCCATGATACTTCTATTTAAAAAAAAAAAAAAAGTTAAGCCCTAAATACCTTTAAAAAGGTATTTTTTTTGTGATAGGGGAAGGGGATTTGCTCAGTGGAGCTAAAGTTTCAGTTTTGCAAGGTGAAAGATTTCTTGAGACACAACACTGTGCATATAGTTAACACCACTGTACTGCACGCCTGAAAGAGGTTACAGTGATAATTGTGTTTTATTACAATAAAAAAGTCTACTTCTTGGACACAGATATCCAAAGTAATATTAATTGTGTGTTGTCCTCGGGAATGAACCAGCATATGTTTTTTGCTGCATTTTCATTTAATGGACAAGAAACACTTGAACTCTTTAAAAGTTAGATACCTCATGTAACCATGTTAACTTCCTTAGAGAACTTCTATAATGTTTGAGTCATTTGGATTAATGTTGGAACAGATACTACTGAGTTGGCCAGATAATACTCTGTGTACTTTTTCAAAACATAAACAGGTTATTATCACTTGAATTATTCTACCATCTCATTAACCAAGACTTACTAAATTGATTTCATATAGAATTGATTTATAATATATAGAATTAATTTAATTCTAATCTTTTAACCAATTTTTAAAAAATTGTACTGGAATACTTTACCCAATTAGATTTAAATGTAAAAAGCACAAATATATAAATTAAATAACAACAGTCCCCTCTTTCACACAACAAAAAATAAAAGATTTTAAAAGAAATGTTATTAACCTTTAATAAATTATTTTAGCAAACATTTGCAGCAATTAAATTCAAGTAATTTAAGAATGACTGATTTAAGAGAATTAAGACTATTCCTCTAAATTTAGTTGATTTTATATATCTATAAAATAGGTATATACAACATATAGAATTTCTAGATTAAGTAACAATTCTCATATATATTGACTGACTTCGGTAATTAATTTAATACTCTCTTCTCCAATTACAATTGATTTCTACTTAGTGTTGCTAATTGTTAGGAAAATGGGAAAATACCTTGATCATTATAGGCATCTTCTAACCTAGATTTAAAGTCATAATTTACTGCAAAGTTCTTTATGGCTTGGGTAAATGGAATCCTTTGCTTGCATTTGTTCCTACGGAGAGAACAAACATACCCTTTGAAAGTTTTTTGGCAGTCTTGTTAATAGCCACTTTTCCAGAGATTTTTTTTCCCATAAACATTTTTTTTTTTTAACACAAAATTAGTTGAGTGGAAAAAAACATACTATTTCACACTTAATAAACTACAACTCTGGTAAAATACTGGTAGAACTTAATGTATTACAATTCTTGACGATTATTGTTCATACTGTATGTACGTTGCTTTACTAAAAAGTTACTTTAAGGCTTGAGAATACTCATAGCTTTACTCACTTGTTTGGTCTCCACTTTCATTCAGCATTTTAATGTATTATTGATTAGAACTGCAGAAAGCTTGTTGCATGATTTAAAGTAGTTTATCATTCATTCATTCTCTGTGTAAGTCCTAACGGAAGTCACAAGATTATTACGTGGTCTGCAAGGTAAGTCGGCGCCTTTCCAGGAAGGTGATCATTATAGGTTTTAAATTCGCCTTTGACTCAAAGCACAGCCTTTCTTCTCAAGCTCTCGTAGAGTTTCAGTTAATAACTCACAGTGGGTGTACGCGACTTCAAGTGACTAGATCTGTTAGTATGTTTTAGTTTTTACACTTCAGCACTTGCTAACTATTAGATTTATTATTTCCTCTGAAGTTTGAAAGTTTAGTTTTGGTCATGAGGAGAATTAGTGCACATTATCATAGTAGTCTGTTTCATTTTTACTATTATCATTTAAAATGTTTCTCCTTTCTCCTGTAGTCATTCATTTATTTATGGACAATAGATGAAATGTTTATTGAATACTTGCAATGTGTATTTTCCCTTCTCTAAGTTAGATGTGTACTCTTGTTTAAAAATAGTCACTCATTTTTATGGGCTTATTTAAACATGTATAGATATATTTTTCATCCTTTGGTCCTTGTTTTTTTGTGTTTTTTTTGTCTGTGCTGGTTCAAAGTGAATGCGATTTAGCATTTTATTTCTTAAAAGACAAAGTAACATAGTGGGACAGGCAGTGTAAACAAATGGAAAGCTGAGAAGAAGCAGGAGGTTTGAAGTTTAAAATGAAACCAGAACAAGTTACTAGGTTAGATGTAGATCCCGCCACTTCCCTTTTACTCACTGAGTGTTTGTTGAACTCCGACTCTGCCGGCTCCCGAGGAACAGACCGTCAACGAAATCCTCGCCTCCTCGGCTGGTGGCTGCCTGAGTGGAAAGATTAGGAGTCGGGAAACATCCATTTTTGCAGAGGAGGTTGATCAGTGGGGTCTCTGTACTTAGCGCGTAAGTCGGAACAGCCTCTCAGGAAGCCGCTTTGACATTACCGAGTGATCACGTGTACTGTCGTGAGGTTGTCCCCCTCCAAATGTGTTTCTGCTCGTGTGGAGTGACTCATATTTCATTTCAACCCAATTTTCCAAACTCTTTTTCTAACTGATTATATTAATTATTCTTTCTTTATTTGCTTGATATTAAAAATAAGTTCAGGAGGAATTTATCACAAGTTGACTTTTTTTATATCACAAGCCAGCACTATTCAAACATTGTGTCTTTGTTTCTTAAACTCTTCAGGGAGTGCTCAGGTTTTTCACTGGAAGGAAGAAACCCTTTCAAGTGTGCAGCGGGGCCTTCATTTTTCCTTCGCTTCTCTTCCCCCGTGTCTAGCAACACTGTACCCTGTCTCCCAGAAACTTTGGCTCTGGCTTTTCCACACTTCATTTATTAAAAATGTTCTGTTCATAATTTTTATTCAGCCAGCAGTGGATTCTTTGCAGCCTGAAGACTTTCCCTATTGAAAGCTGAGCCACCTGCTAAGAGCACTGCACAGTGGATTCCCATTATGCTGTTTCATACATTCTCGGCAGTTTGTTGTGCTGTTCGCCTGTACAGTTACTGTGCAGGCTCCTCAGAGCTGGCTCCACCTTGCAGACTTACATTTGTGCTCGTCTCACAACTGCTGCTGTCTCATCACTAGGAAATCACACAATATACTGACTTTCAATTTGTTCACTGCCCATTTACCCTGCTGAACCCTCGACTTGTTTATTCAATGCTTTCCATAGTATTTTCTCCTTTTGGTGAAGAAACCAGATAATTGTCTCTTAGAGTGTGAAGTTTTAGAAAGACAAGGTCTAGTATTATCCTTGCTTCTCTTGGCCTAAAAAGGCATTGTGTGCAACTAAACCCTTAATGTAAGGTTTGGACAATAAGAGGTCATCCTATCAGTTTTTCTCCTTGTGGGTCTAAATGGAAAACACACACATACATATTCATTCTCATTCTCTCTCTCTCTCTCTCTCTCTCTCTCTCTCTCTCTCTCTCTCTCTCTCTCTTACTTCTAGCCTTACCTGGGTAGATTCTGAAATACTTTCACCAAAATATCGACCCTGGAAATGAGAGGACTGGTGCCGTTTTCCCACTGACATGTCTGCTGTTTTTATCGCTCTCTCTGAAAACATGCAAGGGAGTGATGGATTCACTCTGATAAATGGAATATATTTTATAGGCCTTGAATTTGGAGAACAAAAAGGAGAAATGTTAATGTTGCAATTTGAATGGCATATTTTTTTTCTTTTGTCTGGGTCTGACATGAATTCAATTTTTTTTTTTTACACAAAAATTATTATTTTTGAATAATTACATTATGGTAATTATTAACCGTGATCTAAATATAACTAAGCCTTCACCAATGAAGTGCATTTTATTGAGGTATCAACCATAGTTTGACATAGTGTAACACTTTTTAAGTACAAGTAATATACAATGTTGCCATTTTAGGAAATTTGAAATGACTTTGTGGTTGCTATTTGTAGGGTTTGGGGGGGGGAGTAGTTAGAATTTCTTTTTAGTTTTTCATTTATCATCATCATTATAATTTATTGTCTAAAAGCCTAAAAACAGAATATATCATATCTCAGATTTGTTTGTAAATTCCTTCATATAGCAGAAAATGGTTGACAACAAAAAGTATTCTTTTAAAAATCTAAATTCTCGCAGCATCTAACTAAAGTATTCAGAAAGCACTCTAATGCTTGCTCTATCTATTGATCTATGTATATGCGTGTATTCTGGACCAATAAGGCAAATTGGTGAGGAGAGTTACAAATGGAAACAAAGTCATGCTTGTATTGGTGTGCTGCTGTCACCATCTCGCAAGTGTAGGCTTCTGGTTTCAAAGTAGAA